TCAGTTGTGGGACTGTGATGGATTTGCTCCTTGATCAGGCAACGACTCTTCTGAGATCTAGTGGACAGGCCACAGTCATTTCAAATTGTGTGACTTGTTGATATCTCCCTTCCCTCTCACACTGCCATGTCGTGAGATGAATCTAAGAGGCTATCTTTTAAGGAAGTTGGCTCTTGGTTGGATGCGGGATGAGTGAGCATCCAACAGGCTGGATTCAGTCGTAAATGGTAAAACAGTGTGCTCACCTCGTGAAAGACCTGTGGAGGCCTGTCATTGGGTAGACAAGGACTGAAAATCCCAGTGGGAAGAGAGCACTGACAGGCATCTCCGCCACTATCTTGCTGAGGAAGTAGGGGATCATTCCATAACCACCTCTCACTCGTTCCCTGTTCACCACTGATCTTTCACGTGGAAAGCTATTGACTGTTTTTGTGAGGGATGCCATTGCTGTGTTGATTGCGGCAACCTTGAAGCACCAAGGACACACACACGCACACACACAAACATGCACATGCACACATCCACCCACACACCCACGAACACGCACACACACACACACACACACACACACACACACACACACACACACACACAATCCACATGAAAACAACCAGACAGAATGGTGAGACAATAAGCAAGGATAGTGGACACCCATCAGGATCAGTCCATCAGAACAAGCTCACTGTTTGGTAGTGCACACTCAGTCGCTGGTGATTATGCTGATGACAACATCTTCACTTTTCTTTTCTATTCAGTTTTCAAGCCTTCTTTCTAAACCATTCACTCTTTTTTTATATGATCTCCTTGCTTTTCGGAGTTATAGCACACCCAAGGGGGTGAAATACACAACGCTGTCTGCCAATCCATCCATTTCCCTTTCGGTTTCCGCTGCCTTCCACCCGCCATCTCTCCCCCTCCTCTGCATCTCTCCCCCTCCTTTCTGCCGGGCACGTCTCCCCCTGCTCCCTTCTGCCCGCCATCTCTCCCCCTCCCTTCTTCCCACCACCTCTCCCCCTCCCTTCCTCCACCTTCCGCTCACCATCTTCCACCTCCTATCCCCACCCCGCTGCCTTCCACCCAGCACCTTCTGCCCACCTGCCCACCTGCCCACCACCGCTTGCCTCCCTTTCACCTGTTACCTCTCCCCCTCCCTTCCACTACCTTCCTCTGCCTTCCACCTGCCATCTCTCCCCCTCCACCACTGCTGCCCGCAATCTTCCACCGCTTCTCCGTGTCCTTTCATCTGCCTCCCACCCGGCACCTCTCCCTCTCCCTTCTTGCCGCTTTCCACCCTTCTTCTTCTTCTTCCTCTTCTTCTTCTTCGTCGTCTTCTTTGGCAATCAGATCTTCATCATCATCTACTTCTTCTTCTTCCTCTTTCCACGTGGAAGTCAGTACGGTGGGCAGCGGCGCTACTAGGTCCCGCGATGGGAAGGAGAAAGCGAGCAGCATACAAATCCCAGGCAAGCTGCATTAAGTCGACGGCGTGGCCGGACGTAGCCTACGCCTGCCATGGGCCCCTCTCTTGTCAATGCTCAGGATGATATGCATGCAGGGTTTGCACAAAGCATGGCAACGGGTTGAGCCAGAGTAGGAGAGGTGACACCTGAGGGGTATGGTGAGAAGTGAGAGAGAGAGAGAGAGACACTCTGCATTAGTCTCTCTGAAACGCCCCCAGTGCATTCTTCAGACTCGTTCAGAAGTTCAGAAAATGAATAAGAGATCACAGGGCTATACGTCCTACTGTGACCTTGCTGTCATTATTGTAATGTAAGTCTCCCGCAAAACGGCGCAAACCCCAGTCACATTCCAAGATTGCCCCTTTTTTTTTTTCAAATTTGAGGCCAGGTTCTGCATGCTCTTGACAAGCGCAGAACGGCCCAGCATGCCAAAAAAAGAAGAAAATCCCGTGCCACTTTTTCCACAGGCCAGGGTCAACCACGCGAACCCAGGCATACCTGCCTGGCGGGTGTCCCAAGTGGACGAGACAGAAGGGCGATGCTGGGGGGGGATCAGCCCAATTTCTCCACTCCTGTTTTTGCCACGTTGTGTCGTCCACAAGAGTGAAGCCTCACATAACATGTATTTCTTATTCCACTTGAAGTGTGCAGGTTATTTTCATTTTTTATGTTGGTGCATGATCGCTGAATTTTCCAACATAGCATTGCTTCCTGTCAGAAAGACTCAATGCTCTTTTCTCGTGAACCCGGGCATATACCCGCCTGGCGGGTGTCCCGAGTGGACGAGACAGAAGGGTGATGCTGGGGGGGGATCAGCCGGATTTCTCCACTCCTGTTTTTGCCACGTTGTGTCGTCCACGAAAGTGAAGCCTCACATAACGTGTATATTCTTATTCCACTTGAAGTGTTGCAGCCTAACTTGCAGGTCATTTTCATTTTTTATGTTGGTGCATGATCGCTGAATTTTCCAAGATAGCATTGCTTCCAGTCAAAAAAGACTCGATGCTCTTTTCTTTACGCTGGTTATGGAAGAAAGCTAGATTCTTCAAGCACAGCACAAATGGAAAGGGAAAACACGAAAAGGAAACCTGGAAACAGCAAAAAAAAGTAAAAAAGAGTTAAAAAAAAAACTATCCTTCATGACATCTGGTAAAGTTCGAACGGTACAGATATGACCTCTGTTGCAAGGATGATGACAAGCACAAATAGAGAAAGGGTCCGACTCCAAATTAGCAAAGAAAAGAAAAGCAAAAAAAAAGAAAAAGAAAAAAACACCAAAAGGAATAAATACCACGGACTACGGAACCCCTTTTTGTCATACTTCGGGACATCAGTTGAGATTGGAAAACACGGAGAATATCAGCACAGCCTCTGCTGCACAAGGATGATGCATCATGCAAAATTGCAAAAAATTGCAAATCTAAAAATGGTCCAAACTTTTTCAGAAAAAAACATGAGAACTCTTTGTTTGAAGTTTGAAGTGTACAGACTCTCACTTATGTCAAGTTATGTGCCATTGCATAAATTGCAACAGCAAGTTAAATGCGATGGAGGTTGTAATACATCCATCTGAGTCTCCATTGTTGCAAATGCACCACAAATTGCAACAGCAAGTTGACGGCCATAGTTTATTTTATTAGTTGGGCCATGAATCCCAATTGCCGTCTAATTGGTCTGGCGCCTCACTTTGCAAGTGAGTGAGGGATTGCACTTTTGGTTGTCGCTGCACCAGCCCCATCCATATATATCTTGCTTGACCCCGAATCCGGGCTCCTTGACCGTGAACTTTTGCAGGAGCTTGAAAATTTTTCTGTACCCAGGGCTTCTTGGACAGTCAATTACGCAGGTCATGTCATTATTTGGGTTCTCCCTCAATACGATGGATGAAGGATTCAGAAAAAGGGAGAGAGTCGAGAACACACCTGTAGGAGGCCCATTCGGTCCTGGATTGCAGTCTGTTTGAGGCCCATCTGCCAGAATATGGCACCGAAGATCAGCGCTGATGTTCCAGTCATCATTCCACGAATTATGTTCGTCGCCTTGTCTCGAGTGACCTAACCGCCCCGAACAGCCCCCG